GGGAGGGGTAAGGTGGGTACGTGGGCTTGGGGCCGAGAAGGCCGGGGTAGGGCTAGGGTTTGGTGACTGCCAGGGCTGCTGTCCGTGGGTGGTGCGGGGATTCGACCCGGAGCTTCGGCCTCGTCCACGGTTGCGCTGACCTCCCCTTCCTCGACTGCCGCCGCTGCCTGAGTGCCCTCGACCGCCGCTGCTGCTGAAGGAACCACGACCCCCACCCGCGGGGCTGTGTGGGTGAGCGCCGGTGTGACCAGCCGAGAAGAGGGCCGTGCCAGGTGATGGATCGGCGCTGTCCAAGTCTGATTGCTGATGCTCCAGGAGAAGAAGTGCTGAGCGGGTTTGAAGAAACGTTGGCGGAGGAGTTTGGAACTGGAGGAAGGAGGTTTGACCCCGCATGTCGTCGGGCAGCCCCCGGAGAACCTGCAACACCAACTGTTGTTCCGAGACAGGGGCATCTACGTCGTCCAACCAATCGGCTAAATTCTTGAGAGTTTGACAATAAGCCGATATGGAGAGCGAGACTTTCTTCGTTGTCCGGAATTGGTGCTCCAATTGCATTGCCCGGGCTGGTTTATTGTCATGAAAAAGAGAGTGAATGGATCGCCAAAGTTCGGACGCCGAGTCGGTAGAGGAGAGGACTAAGTCGGATACCTCGTCGTTGATCGTTGAGAGGATCCAACCCTGGATAAGAGCATCGAGTTGGTACCAATCGGTGTCGTCGTTGTTGGAGGGGACCGATTTTCCGGTGAGAAAGTCACCGAGGGAGAAGAACCGAACCAATAGGAGAAAGAGGCGGCTCCATTTTTTGTAGTTCAGCTCCGTAAAGCTTAAGAGGATCGGAATGTGAAGTTTCTCGTTCGAGATGGTCGTGAAAGCCAGGTGAGGAGTTGAGACCGGGGAAGGAGACTTGTCGGAGGAGGGTTTCTCGGCCATGGAGAGGGGCTGATGCATTGGTGCGTCGCTGGAGAGACTTCTGGTGCAACGCTGGGGAGGTTGCTGTCCGTGGGTGGCGCTGCTAGAGAACGGCAGTCGCCGGTGAGATAGAGGGGGGGAACGCCGAGCAGTGGGCTGCGGCGTTAAGGTTTGGGGAGTGCGACTATGAGACGGCGCACGAGAGAGGAGTTTCTAGGTTTTAGGCCACGGAAAAAGGCTCTGATACCATGAAGAAAGATTAATTTCTATATTAATCTCGGAGGTCAAGCCTCGAATATATACAAGAGACAAGTCTCCTAATTATGGTAGGATATAAATGCAATCCTTCTATACAAGGGAAACTACAAAATATATAAAATATATTAAATATTCAACATATATTTAACAGAAACCCCTGTCGTTGTCTTCGTCGTAATCGCATTGCACCATTTGGTATCTAGCAAGTTCATCATGCGAACCTACACTTGTGCCACCTCAGAGCTTATTTATAGGTAAAATATAACCTCCCCCACCCCCTCGAAACAGCTATATTACCGTTGGAGGCCCTCTCCAGGGCCCACACAGGAAAGAAAGAAAAGGAAAAAAAATAAAAATTGTACCGGAATCTAAACCGCCGGTTCCGGTCCCAATATCTATACCCGGAGGCCGGAACTGGTGACGTCTGTTCCGGTTCCTAACCTGTGTATAGTTTCTCCGTATCTGTCACCGGTCCCGGGACAAATTTATCTTTAATCTAAGAACAACTTTAGCGTGATTGCTTACTGGGAGTTTTTAGCTAAGAAATATTGCTTCTAATTTATCTTTCTTCTTTATACTTGTAGTGATAAATATGTACATTTGTAACAAATTAAATAATGTGGATTCGATTTAAAACTCATGAAATGTTTCATATATTATGAGATCGATATCATTTTCCACTTTGAAATACAAATACACAATGTCAGATTGTGAATCTTTGTTAGAGTGCATCCCTCATCGGGAATCCAAGAGTAAAATAATCGGTATAAAAGCTCTTGAGTTGAACTAACTAATCGATTGAATTCAATCTTTTAATGTGATTCAACCCAAGTGTCTTATTGCCCAATCCAGTTGTCCATACTCCATCTTATAGTATGAGAGCAGGTTTTGGCCCACCTAGTTTGTCAAGGTGTCCGTCTAGACGTTCATTCCTAGTGGCCCGTTAGTCTTTAGCCCAGTTGTCTGTATGGAGTATGTATTCAACGGCCTGTGGCCCGTTTAACACGATTGCTCGTCTGGAAGTCCATACCCAGCGGCTCGTAGTCCTTTAGGTGTTGGCGCTCAAAAAAATTTAAGGGAATGTGAGTTTATTTGCAAGTGGTCAACCGGTTAAATTCAAAATGGCTCGGTTGTCCACTTGAGAGGGAGTGTTAGAGTGTCATCCACATCGGAAGTTCAAGAGCAAAATAATCGATATATAAGCTCTTGAGTGGAACTAACTAATCGGTTGGATTCAATCTTTTAATGTGGTTAAACTCAAGTGTCTTAATATAGGAAGTTCATTTTTGCATAAAGTTCATATTTTAGTCCTATGTAGATAATTTTTATAATAAAAAAACTTTAATCAAATAGAGTAAACAAAACAAAAAATTACCTTTCAAAGAAACAAAAAATTATTTAGGGAGAAAACGAGTGCCAGTTTTGTCCATAGTACGGATCGGAGTACTTAATAATTTACTCCGTAACATTTTTGTCTTTTTCTAAATTTTAATTGTAACTTGTAAGCATCCAAGATATTGGTCTGGTTTTTGGAAGCTACAAACCCGAAGGATATGATTTATGAAATTTCTCAACATTGCTAGTGGTGAGACAAGGACAGCCAACGATGACATAGACAATTATTATTTTGAGTAAATTTTTTAAAATGATTCTTTCTAATAAATTGTGTTCTCAAATTCAATAAACAATAATTAGCAATATAGTCCTTTGTAATTGAGATATATTCCTTAAACAGTTTTTTTTCAAAAATGTCTATTAAATGATAACTAAATTGAGAGTATTTTGATATTTTCTATCGTCAAAATGGTTCTTTCGAATTAAGTGGATGACTCCTAAAGAAATGGACTCACCCCGAGTAGGCTCATGAGCTTCATTTCGGGAGAACATTTACTTATAAATTATTAGTTTGAAAAAATACTTAACAACATAAAAGCATTTCTAAAATATACTTTAAGTCTAGCTAGATAGTAAATAATATCAAAATACCTTCTATTTGACTGACATTTAATAGACATTTTTTTAGAGAGGGTCATTTTAGGATAAATCTAAATTACGAAGGATCATGCAGGTAATTATTATTTATTAAGAACTAATTTGAGAAAAACACCTTACTAGAAAGAACTATTTTGAAAATTCACTCTATTATTTACTCCCTCCGTTTCTTAAAAGCCTTCTTCTTTCATTTTTTTGTTTTTCTTAAAACACTTCCCTTTTCTATTAAAAAACCACTTTTACCCCTACTTTTTCATACCCTACCTATCATATCATACTTTTTCACTAATAACTAAACTATCACATCTTACTTTTACCCATCACATCAGGGGCAAAATTGGAAAGTCAACTAAAATTATACTTTCCTTATTTTTCCCCAAAGTCAAAAAAGGAACCGTTTTGAGAAACGTAGGGAGTATTATTTAAACTTTCTTCCCAATTTCACATTGCAATCAACTTGTGAATTACATCTAAGGTACACAAGAAAATTTGGGCATCTTTTCACATGCATAAAAATAATTTTTAATGCTTTTTTCAAAAAAAAAAAGCATATTTCAACAGACTATCTCCGCTAACATGGCGTACGGGTTAGTAACTAAACGGCGATCCAAAATTCGTAAATTTTAGTAATATTGGAATATTTATGCATCATAGTGAATGGTGGCATTATTTTTGAAAAATCATGTAAATTTGAGATTATTCTAGATTATATTCCAACATTTATTTGTTTAAATTTATATTTATTGATGAGGAAAGCATGTTCTCAATTGACAAAAAGAAGTTAAATTATTTGGAGTAAATTTTGTTGGAAGAAAGGAGTATAATTCTTTTCAAGGAAAGCAAAGGAGGTTAGGAATGTTGGACAATGTGCTATCATGAATATATATTTTTGCAATGTCCTTTGCCCATTGTCTTTTAGGTTTTGATAATGACAAAAGGGTGACAAAACATCATCATCATATTGTGCATCAAGGCTAAGAATCAAAGCTACAACAAGTTCATATCCATCCGTGAAGAAGGGACTTGAGCATCGGTGGAAGGAACGAGACCGAAGAGGTTGTTTCCTTAGTTGGGTAGTGTTTTAGGTCTTAGATTATGTGTTAAAGAGTATGGCATCTCTAAGGTTCATTCCTTTATCATCCTACCTTTAAAACACATTTTTTGCCAGCAAACTATTCGAATAAATTCAAAACTATTCGAATCAATCCCTGAAATTCTATTCTGACTTAGTTGAATAAATCCAGAACTAGTTGAATAAGTCAGATTGCAGTTTCACCAAAACTAGTCGACTAAATCTTGATTTAGTCGAATAGTTCGACAGTTTCAACAACCAAACGGCTAGTTTTTTGAATGCTTTTCATCCCTATCCACTTCCTAACTTTTAAAAACTATCCTATCTCGTGTTTTTGGCCAAGAATATACATTGAAAGCACTTCAAAACATATCCTTTGAATATCCAAAGAGATTCTACTCAATCCCCTCCTTATATCCAAGCAAGGCAATTGTTTTGATTGCTAAATCATTTCTTGCTTGAGTTTTTCCTCATTGCTTGAGTCTTTGAGAGATATTGCCATATTCTAAAGGACTTCATTGTATTTGCAACAATCTACTCCGTGTTGGGAGAATTACTCGGTTGCGGTTTGTTTTCTTACTTTATTGTAAGAGATTTGTATTCTTGGTGTTGGGATTACACCAAGTGGTAGAAATCCTAACGGTTTGTGAAATCAAACGTTAGGTGGAAGAAATCCTGAGTTTTGTGAAATCAAAACTTCGGTGGTAAGATAAGAGGCTTGTGAAATCAAGTTCTCACGAAAATTGTAGACGGGGTTCTTGTTCCAAAGTTAGAGACCGAATATACCTCAAATGACAAGAAGAAGATGCAACTAAATGCAAGGGCCATCAACTTTCTATATTGTGCCGTGAACCCGGATGACTATCGGAAAATCTCAAGGTGTAAGACGGCCAATGAGATGTGGAGCAAATTAGAGGTCACATATGAAGGAACAAGTCAAGTGTATGACTCAAAGATCGACTTACTCACCCATGAGTATGAGCTTTTCATGATGATGGAAAATGAAACAATAGATGGCATGTTCGAGAGATTTTCAACTATCGTCTCCAATTTGGATACACTTGGTAAGCATTATGAGGATCATGTTCTCGTTCGAAAAATCCTTCGAAGTCTCACACCGGAATGGAAGTATACGGTCAACCCTATCAAAGAAGGCCGAGATTACAATACATTGACATATGACGCACTTCGAGGTAAACTACTCACTTATGAAATGTCTAACTTTTCTAGTGCAGTGGAGATCAAAAGGGATCAAAATCTATCATTCAAAGGAGTTGCACTCAAAGCTTCATCGTCAAAATATGTCGAGACAAGCGGCTCTGGAGAAAGTGACATTCTCGAGTTATTTAATGACTTCTTGCAAAATGAGCTTGAGCAATTGAATGAGAGTACAAAGCCTACTTGCTATGGATGTGGAGAGCGTGGACATATCAAGGTTCATTGCCCTAATCGAAAATTCAAGAAGTCCAAACACCGAAAGCAATCCAACTCAAGCTCCTCTTCCTCATCCGATGATGAAGTAGCCATTTGTCTTATGGCTCAAAGTGAATCTGAAGAGGTAAGTTCTTCTAACGATCCTTTTAGTTTTGAAGAACTACAAGAAGCATTTGGTGATTTATTTAAAGAATTTAAGAAAGTCTCATCTATTGCCAAAGATTTGGAATATAAAATCACCCTTTTGCAAAAGAAAAATAATATTTTGCAAAAAGAAATTAATTCCCTCAAAATTGAAAATAAGACTTTTGAGGAGACTAGTTTGAAATTAAATGATTCACCTTGTTGTTCATGTAAGTCTTCTAGTCTTGAGATAGAAGCGCTTAAGAAAGAGGTAGACGATTTGAAATTAGCTATGAAGAAACTTGAAAATGAATTTAAACTAAAATCTACCTCTAGGATTAAATACTATAGATCACCTAGAAATAAACTAAGTCATTCTAAGAATTCTAAGTTTGATAGACAACCTAGAAAGCACATCACACGTCCTAGAAACATGAACAACCCTAGTGTTAGGTGTCATTATTGTAATAAAGTAGGACACATCACACCAGTTTGTTACACTTAGTATAGGCACTTGCTTCTAAGTCAAGATAATGTGATGCATTGTTCATATGATTTTTATTATTGCCATAACACCCCTGGTCCCAAAAGGCATTGGGTACCAAGATTTGCTTCGTAGATTCATTAAGGAAGGTGTGCTTGAACACTTCGACTTGAGTTGAAGTAGATGTGCCAAGCACATAAATGGGTGAAACATCAATTAAGAGAGAAGTTGATTCACTTTATTAATTCCAACTAATGTTGATTTATATTTTAGTTGGACAATGTGATATTATTTGTTTGTTTGATATCTATTTGCATGAGCATATATCTTTTTGCCCATCTCTTTTTGATAATGTCAAAAGGGGGAAGATGGTGTAGATATGCATATATTCAGGGGGAATTGTATTTGTGCATATCTTAATGGGAAGATAGTATAGATTTGTATGTCTTTGTTTGATTTATGATGCAATACTTGAGGGAGAACTAGCCTTGTATGATGCATATCTCCTAATGGTTTTGTCATTATCAAAAAGGGGGAAATTGTTGGACAATGTGCTATCATGAATATATATTTTTGCAATGTCCTTTGCCCATTTTCTTTTAGGTTTTGATAATGACAAAAGGGTGACAAAACATCATCATCATATTGTGCATCAAGGCTAAGAATCAAAGCTACAACAAGTTCATATCCGTCCGTGAAGAAGGGACTTGAGCATCGGTGGAAGGAACGAGACTGAAGAGGTTGTTTCCTTAGTTGGGTAGTGTTTTAGGTCTTAGATTATGTGTTAAAGAGTATGGCATCTCTAAGGTTCATTCCCTTATCATCCTACCTTTAAAACACATTTTTTGCCAGCAAACTATTCGAATAAATTTAAAACTATTCGAATCAATCCCTGAAATTCTATTCTGACTTAGTTGAATAAATCCAGAACTAGTTGAATAAGTCAGATTGCAGTTTCACCAAAACTAGTCGACTAAATCTTGATTTAGTCGAATAGTTCGACAGTTTCAACAACCAAACGGCTAGTTTTTTGAATGCTTTTCATCCCTATCCACTTCCTAACTTTTAAAAACTATCCTATCTCGTGTTTTTGGCCAAGAATATACATTGAAAGCACTTCAAAACATATCCTTTGAATATCCAAAGAGATTCTACTTAATCCCCTCCTTATATCCAAGTAAGGCAATTGTTTTGATTGCTAAATCATTTCTTGCTTGAGTTTTTCCTCATTGCTTGAGTCTTTGAGAGATATTGCCATATTCTAAAGGACTTCATTGTATTTGCAACAATCTACTCCGTGTTGGAAGAATTACTCGGTTGCGGTTTGTTTTCTTACTTTATTGTAAGAGATTTGTATTCTTGGTGTTGGGATTACACCAAGTGGTAGAAATCCTAACAGTTTGTGAAATCAAACGTTAGGTGGAAGAAATCCTGAGTTTTGTGAAATCAAAACTTCGGTGGTAAGATAAGAGGCTTGTGAAATCAAGTTCTCGAGTTGTATTCGGATTGTCAAACTCCGTTAAGTTTGACGGGTTAGTGAAGGCCTGGGCACGATTGCTTCGGGGACTGGATATAGGCATTTAGGCCGAACCAGTATATATCGTGTGTACATTGCTCTTATCCTTCACTTTATTTTGTTTATGGTGCATTGTTTTTATTGATATTTGTGAAGAACGTTTCCGCGAAAAAAAAACTAGTCTTTTGGACAACACCTCTATTCACCCCCCCTCTAGAGGTGTGCGAGGCGTCTAACAAGGAAGGAGTCAAATTCTCCATTAATTCATACTTGCAAAAGTAGTAACACCAATCATATGGCATGTTTTTAAAGGATAAGAAATAGTTTTGAATATAATTAGAATCAGATCAAATCAAAACTCAGTTCAGAATCAATTCGACTCAGTTCGGAATCAATTGCATAATGCAGCATTTCATTCAACTTACTTTTTCTGCTTATTACTTATTCTTATTAAAATTAGATCAGATCCAATCAAATCTAATCAGATCACATATAATTAGATCAGTTTAGAACTAATAAGATCAGATCAGACCAGATCTAAACAAAACTAATATTATTATTTTTATTTTTATTATTACTCTTATTATTATTACCATTATTATTAGCATTATTACTATTACTAAGCTATTACTATTACTATTAATATATTAATATTATGATTATAATTATTATTACTATTGTTATTATTATTATTATTATTATTATTATTATTATTACTATTAATATGAATAATATTATTATTGTTACTATTATTATGATTACTATTATTATTATTACTATAACTATTACTATTATTATTACTAATGTTATTATTACTATTACTATTACTATATTTATTATTATTACTATTATTAAAATTACTATTATTATTATTACTATTATTATTATTATTATTACTATTACTATTATTATTATTACTATTATTACTATTATTATTAATATGACTATAATTATTATTTATATTTTTATTATAATTAGTACTACTATTATTATTACTACTACTATTATAATGATTATTATGATTATTATTGTTATTATCATCATCATCATCATTGTTACTAATATTATTATTACTATTACTATTTTTATTATTATTATTTCTATTATTATAGTTATTATTATTCTTACTATTCTTATTACTATTATTGTTATTACTATTATTATTATTTCTATTATTATTATTATTTATTTTTTTATCAATATTTATATTATTATTATTTCTATTATTACTATTATTATTACTATTAGTATAATTTTTATTTTGATTTTTATTATTACTATTATTATTAATAATATATCTATTATTATTATTATAACTATTAACATAAAGATTTTAGTTTCAATTTTAATCAAATTCATATCAGATCTAATCAGATCAGAACTTCAAAAAATTAGTTCAGATCAGATCAGGCAAACGGAACGCAACCTAAGTCGAACAAAACATGCACTGAATTGGAGGAAACACGGTTTCTAACTGTTTGAAGAAAATGATATTTCATCATATTTGGAAAATAGTGTCTATACAACCAATTATTTACGGCCGGAGAAAATGATATCTCATCATATTTGGAAAATAGTTTCTCTACACCAATTACTTACAGCCGGAGCATATCAATTCAATATATTTCCGTTCACACATATGCAATAATTTCTTCGTCTCATAACTTTTTAGAGATTAAAAAGGACATCTATTTAATTTAATAAAGGTAACTTTGATACTGGGGTATTATTTTTTCAGTCCGGTCCGGTCCGGTTTTCCGGTCCAACCCGGATTTTGTACACCCCTACTCCTATACACAATATGTTACTTATTAATACCTCCGTCCCTGAATATTTGTTCAGTTTTGACTATTTTTAGTCAACTATTTTTAACCTTTGACATATAATTAAATAAAATATATATTGTATATTAATTAGATAAAATAGCATTTTTAAAATATTTGATATAATAAATCTAATAAAATTGTTTTTCTATCAATATCTAATATTATTTTTATTTAATTTGAGGTCATAGTTTCCAATTTTCACCGAATAAAGTCAAAAATGAACAAATGCTTAGAAATGAAAGTAATATTAAGTAATGGCAAAGTTTAAAATTAATATCAAAATTACACATTTTTGGAACATACTTTTTTTCATTTAAAAAAAATTATGAAAGAGAAGAAGTACAAGTATAATTTATAGAGTATAGTTTTTGAAGAGTTCGTCAATGAATCAATCTATAGCTCTAACTTTCTGGTTAAAGGTAAAGAAGGAAACTTTTTACTGAAAATGATCTCAAGAACCAATGGGTCCCCTGAAAACTGAAAGAAGACAAATCGCAGCATCCAGCTCCCCCCTTATAGTTCACTGTTTTCTTGTATATATATCAGTATATGGAGTCTTGAAAAATGCTAGGGGTACATCAAATGTGTATCCCATTTGTCTCCCACCCCCTCCTTGTCCATAAAAAAAAGTAAAAAATTCAAAAAAAAATGAATAAATAAAAATAAAATAAAAATGGGTTGTGGAGAAGGGGGTGGTGTACATTTGGGGTACACCTTTGGTGTACCCCTAGCATTACTCGTGGAGTCTTTCATTCACATCTTGATACCACCCCCCCCCCCCCCCCTCAATCAAAATGCAAGGTGATAACCTTGTTCCGAGCAAGGTGTATGATTTGCTTAGGGTGAAGGCCAACCCCAAGCCTTGGATGGCTTTTATTTGGCACTCGACTATTCCTCCTAAATGCTCCTTTACGATGTGGCTAGTATTTAGGAGGAGGCTGCCCACTAAATCAAATTTGGAATTTCTGGGCCTGCCTATGGAGTGTACCCTCTGTGGGGATACCCTTGAGGACATTGATCATTTGTTTTTTGGGTGTGTAATCTCAAAGCAGGTTTGGGAGGCCATTAAGCAGTGG